CAAATCCTTAGTTGTAACACTTCATTTTCCTGAAAAATTACAGTTGCACATGTGTTGTCTCCTGCTCACCATTTATTCATGTCTCAAAAGCAGACGAGTACTGTCTTCCAGAAAAACGATTACTGATCTAAATCTTCCTTTTATCACTTTATTTCCCTAACAATTTTCACCAGCTGTTAAATGAAAATGTTATTCAAATTTTGCCCTTGACCAATAGGAAAAAAAAAGTATCTGAAGGTAGTGTCACAGAAGAGAGGTTGCTTCATATCATATATGAACAAAAAACAGAAATGCAACAGACCCTGGCATCAGCACACATCCGGAAGCTTGCTGTCCTCTGCCTCTCTACCACCTCTCACACAGACCAACAAGCAAGGCAGCCAAAACCTTATCATCTAAACCTTACCCACCAGTGCAGGGCAAGTAAGATGACAACATTTTTAAGGGTTAAGAGCGGAAACCAAAGCAAGTCTGAACGGTCATTTCTTAACATGGTTCAAGTTTCTGAAGCTAGACTAGAAAACTGGCCAAGAATAAAAAAAAAGTAATTTTGATTTGCCTTCCTTGATGAGAGATTGCCTTTTTAACTAATCCAGCAGATAGTTCACAAGCATAGGGAATGGAAATCATATAGTTAAAATCCTTCAGACTATTATAGAGAACTTTAAATATTAGAAGAGACTGCAGCCATTTAGAAGAGCATCAAAATATAACACAGCCTGGCTCTTCCAGTTAAAAATTCACACTGGAAAATGGTTTCTGCTTTCTAAAAACATTGCATTATCTAACTATATTTCCCACTTCTAGCTTTCTATAAATACTTCAAGGTGTGGTCAGAAAACTGTGGCCAAGTTCTTCAAGGATTTTTAGTTTTCATATCGAGTTCAGGGCTGCAGCATATTTACGTTAACATTTTCTGGAGAATACACTTCATTAACTGCTGTGGCAAAACCCTTGGTGGTCTGCTCCTCGCTGACTCTGACCATTGCCTTTTCAATCATTTGCAAATTACTTCCAGATGGGTATCAGTTACACAGAGATGGAGATTTTTTATAACATCTATAAATAGTGCAAGAGTCCTATAGAGGTACGATGAGCGCGCTACGCAGTGACCCGCATGATGAGGCTGTGAACAGGGGCGTGTGGAGCCCACAACCCAGGTTCTCCCCACGGACGAGCTGGAAACCCTGTGCTTGGTTCAGGTAGGACATTATCCCATGGGTACAAAAACTCAGATTACACCTGCAAACTTGATTCAGTTCCCTAAGCACAGCCATCTAGTGTCATTTTGGATGTCCTCTTCCACCTGGCCCCAAGTGCCACTCCGGGTGGGCAGCGGTCTCCCAGTTGGGTTCGGGTGTCTCGGGTAACCTAGCGCACCCGAGCGTGGGACGCGTCCATCGAAGCACCCAGGTCGCTCCCCCTGCGGTGACACAGGAGGCACCTTTTAACTGAGCAGCCAGCTTTTACAAGTCTGGTACACTGCTTCTTTCACTTCTATTCGCTAGTGTCCATTTTACGATCCAGAAAAAGATCCTCTCAAGTCTCTCCAGAGCACCAAGTAATTCATTGCATTAAGGAAATGACAACCCCCATTTTAAATGGCTCCAACTGCATTTTTTAATCCCGCCCTGTTCATATGTGCACCGTGTAACACTCGGTTGCCTACATAATACATCTAATTGCCTCCATTTACATCCAATTAAATTCTGTGATACTCTTTTGCAATATTAATTAACTAACTCTGTCAGGGGCTAATCTCCTGGAGCATTTGACAAACGGCAGGGCAAAAGCACGGTATAAAGAGAAAAGTGTCTGGGGCTGCCTCGTGGATGAAGAGCCACTAGAGTCCATGGGGGTGTGGGTACTTACTGCATTCGCATTGCCTGTGGGATTTTCATTTGCTCCAGAGGTGTAATTCTTGGGAAAAGTTCTAGATGGATTTCAACAACACTTTGCCTTAACTCTGTCTCTTTTTCTTTGGCATGGAGACTCATATCCAGATTTCTGGGTAGAAAAAGCAACTTTGCTAGTGCCTGGCAGTCAGAATCTGGATCTCTTCAACTATAAATACAAGCCAGGCAGAAAGTTTGAAAATAATCTTACAGTGCAGAGGGAAAACTGTGGTTGTAGAGTGAGAAGTAGGACAGTTTGTTCAGAACCAGCAAAAATAAAGACTGAAAAATTTCTGTATCCTGTCCCATAGCAAAAAAGGAACAGGCAGAATGAAGCGAAACCATGTCATGGTGTGGTGCTGGTCATTTCTATTAAGTAGGGAATCTGCTTTTGTTTCAATCTACTTTATTATATTCTCACTAGGAAGAATGTGAACTGAAGCAAGGGAACCTAGAGTTAACTTGAGCACAGATGACTGTAACCAAGTCTTTAAAAGAAAAGGAAGAAATCCTCCTCATTTCACCGCTGGTGGGCATGGCCGGAGCCTTCGCAAGCAGGCTTCAAATTCAAAGCAGGCTGCTCCTGCAAAACATTACTAACAACTCACAAGTCTCAGTTAATGGTTTTCAACTGAGAAGTACCACACGCAGATACTGTCTACTTATGGCTCTGCTCTCAGTCGTTCTCCTGTCTCTCTGCATCCATGACAGCTGTTGGATTGGAGAGAGCTTTCAGTCTTTCTGGAGATTCCTCTACCTCTGCAACTGCACGAGGTAACTTGAAGATAAAATGAAAATTGTAGATTTTTTTATTCAAATCAATCAATTATGATTGATTCAAATATAGACAAATACTTGGCAGGTATCATTTTTACTGTAAAGTTGTTGGTTTGGGTTTTGGTTTTTTGTTTTCTGCTCAGACATTGCTTCAACATACCAAGTAAGCATGTTAGGAATGATTTAAAGCTCCTGAGTGCTCACATATAATGCTATCCAATTTTTTTCAAACTGAAATGATGGAATTTAGGGGGACAATGAGGTACATGTAGCAAATAGCTCTTAGGCAACAAGCACAATAGATGATGGCTGAAGGCTCTGCCTTTTCTCTTTACCTCTTGACACACCCCAGGGTTTATGGAAGTTGCACAATATGCACAACCACCAGTTAGGTTTTATTGCTTAATTACTTACAAGGAAAAAAATGAAGTCTCCCACAGTCACCTGAAGTTGGGAAAACAGAATTGCTTGGATTTTTTCAAATTTTAGTGTGAAATATGACTATAAAGAATTTAGAAAAAAAAACAGACTACAAATATAGTCCAAAAAAATAAGAGACATATACCAGCACGTATTATAAAGCACATAGGGAATGTTGGCTAGTATAGATTCTGAGCCAAGCAAGTCTTCTCAGGCTTCTAAATTTTTATTTTTCATTTAAATTGGCTACTCATGCCACAGAGCCTTTCTTAAATTGTGTCAAGTTACACACACGCACCATCTGAAATCCTAGTAAATCTGTTTTCCTTCATGAGGTATTCTCAACTGTATTGCAAATTTAAGCAATACCTAAAACCAGAGGGAATAAAACAGAACCTGTTAAGCATGAAATAAGATACCATACACAATTCATCTGACATAAATAAGCTCAACTGTGCTTCATAATTGTACTGACCCGAATCCAAACTACTTAAGAACCAGGGAAAACGGAGTTATTTAAGTGTATTAGTAATGGTAGCTGCAACATTATCAGGATACGAGAGACCAAAATTGTAAGGAGAGGGAGAACACCTTATTAGACCAACTGTAGCTGGGGTGAGAGGAAGCAAAACAGAGAAGCTTTCAGAAAGGTAAGGCCTTCCTCAGGAGCAAGTGATCCATCTCTTATCACCTTCTCGATATCTTTGTTCCTCCTCTTCGTGAGGAGCGGTGGTTGTACTGGTTACAGCAGATAACCAGAGTCAAAAGGTTCTGGGCTTTATCTCAAGTTTTACTGGGGTTAATTTATCCTGTTGCCCTGTACAAATAGTGTGCATTCTTTGCCTCAGTTGCCTCATCTGTAAAGTGGGAAGAATGCTTCCCTACTTCATAAGAGTTTGCCTCTCTGGGAAAATGGGCTGCATTTATCAAAAAATCTCTCAAAACAGCATTCATAGCTCCAGTCTAGCCAAAGCCACAAACCAGGACAGCCTTACTTCGTATTTTAAATGCTATTTGATATGAGAAATGCTACTGTGACACCGAAAATGCAAGAAAAGCAAAGCAACTTGCAGTGGTTTTGTCTTATCTGTTGTTTATTACTGGAAGTTCCCAACGTTCTCTGGCAAAGGCTGACCCATTACCTTCTCTCTTCACAGATAAGGAAACTAAGGCACACGGAAGTCACTCGTCACACAACAGTACTTACTAAAGTAGTAACTGAAAGTCAAAGCCTTCTCCCTGTTTATTGACTCTGAAACCCGAACTAATTTGGGCTATGCTGTGAAAGGGTGCTTCAACTTTGCCACAGCATGTCAGTTAAGACTTCAGCAAAACACTGAGCACACGAGTGTTAGTGCAGCTTAGGATTCAGAAGCGCAAGTATCATCTAAGTAAAATCTAAAAAGAAAAGCTAAGAAAAGAGCAGGACAAGAGGGGGATGGGAACTGGAAAGAGGATTTCTGCCAGAGAAACTAAGAAGCAGCCCTGTACCACAGAACTTGAATTTCTGACACAGGTCGGGATGGGTTTGCGAGCACTGCCTCTGCAGCCTACAGAGTTGATGGGAGCAGCTGCTCAGTAAATGAAACAACGTATTTTATGGAACTTACGCAACAGCTATACTATAGCTCCTCTGGAAACAATGGTAATTACGCACCTCTCATGTTATCTTTGGATAACACTGTAATTAGTATGTGTCATCACTCTAGCCATGATTAAAATAATTACCGTAAAAAGTCCCATGTAAGTAGCATTTACTGTTCCGGTTTCCAAGCATGTACAGGATTATATTTTTTAAACTATAATTGCTTTCTCTTTTCACAGCTCAACAGTGTTTCCCCAACCATCCTCCACTCCATGCAGCCATCTGATGTTGTAGCAGAAGGATAATGTGTGTGAAATACTCACAGCTCTGGAAAGTTCTTGAACGCATCCTCTGGTAGCCTTGTGATGTTATTCATGCTGATATCTCTGGAGAAGAAGAAATATGGATTTATCAATAAAAAGTAAGGAATTTTTACACTCTAGGAAAAGACGGTGAAAAAGAAAGCCTAATCAGATGGTATGATATCAGAAAAAAAAATTCTAGCATCATACGGTAATATCTTTTTCTAGAAATTTGCAGGCTAAATTTTCACAGCACAGTAATCTGAGAATCCAGCAAAGACCTATAAAATACAAAATTGACTACAACATTTCCTGACACCTCTAAGCAAATAAATTACTGTGAAACTAACAGGGTTTGCATGCTTGGAAGAGGCTCTGTGGTACTGTTATCCAGAGTACTAATTTCTACCAACTTACACATGCATACAATTTTAACACAGATGATTAAGAACTGTCTAAACCCACAGCATATGGAAAAATAAAATAAAAAAATACCATGACCACCCACCATGTAAATTTTCATCCCACAAAGTCTTTTAAAAAAAAAAAAAAAGAATACATGCATTGGGACTAAATAAAGGGCTTCTGGCAAACACAGCTTCTGGAACAACTGACAAGAATAGCAGAAACATGTCCCAGCTCTACCACAGTCTTTTTTTTTTCTCTACAAAACCTATAGAAGTCCTCGAGGTAATAGTTTTAAGCAGATTTCATTCCCAGTCCATAAGCAGAAACAGGCCGGCAGCAAGTGCTTACACGATAGGTATGCAGACCTGTTCAGCTTTTTTCTTTGCGAAGGAGCATTAAGTGGCAAACTTGGTGCCATCACCTCAGTTCACACCTACACAACCATCACAGATAATCCAGTCCTAAAGCAAGTTGTTACTCAATGTGAGTAAAAGTAGCACAAAAACAATTCAGTTTGATAATTAAACTAATAACTGCCTAACAATCCATGACATAACCCAAGTTCGTTCTTTCCACTTGGTTACTGCTTCTTTTTTTTTCCTTTTTTTTTATTATGCAGTTTAGCAAGCAATTGAGTGAGACTCATTCCTACAGCCCTCCCGGCTTCCTTCTTCCACACGTCGTTCTCTAGCGTCTATGTGCCACCTCCCCAGGGATTTGGGGTAAAAAGCAAACAAACAAGACTAAACCAAGCCACTCCCACCCCCTCACCTACAGCCAACAAGTACCACTGGAGCTGCTGCAGGAAGATCTGAAGGGCTGGTGAGAGCATGCAGGACAGCAGGTTTTGCCACCGAAAAAGTGTGATCTCGGAATAAAATACCAGCCCCTGCCTACCGCTGGGGCAGAGGTTCTGAGCCCACCCCAGGCCACCATGATTTTCACCCATCTGCCTCAGCAAGAATTGTCGCTGCTTCTGAAGAGGCAGAGAAAGGACTATTGAGGCTCTTCCTGCTATAGTGGAAGGGCACAAATCCCTGAAGAACTGTTTTGTAGCAGCAAAAACCAAGCCCCTTGAGAAATTAATAAGTTTTGCGTTTAGGATATCTTCTGTGGCTCCCAGCCAGGACAGGAACCGAGGAGGTTCGGCATCAGACCCCTAAGGGGAACAAGGAGCGTGTGGAGGGGCTGGTGCTGCTTCTGAGGAAATGCTGTCCCGGGACATCTGTGCCTTCTTTCACGCTGTAATGAACCGAATGCCATGTCAGTACCACATAACCTACCAAAAATGTTGCAGCAGCTAATTAAACCACTTCTTGCAAAGACTGCCCATGTTATTCCTCCACTTGCCAGACCATAATATCTAACATAGCTCATTTTAAGAAGTTTCCTTATTTATAATGACAACAGAATGCACTACATAAAAAAAACCCAACCATGGCTACTGGAAAAAAATATTTTTTTCCCCACAGCCGTTGACAATGTCATCTGATGTCATGAATTTACACTGTGATTAACAAGTAACTGGTTTGCTGTCCCTGACCAAGCAGCACAGGTCCTCAGCCTTCACCACCGTGAACGCTGTGTTCTTACATTAAATCTAGATGCAATTGCTTCTTTAAAGTGAATGCTTATTAAATAGCAGCCCAAAATTTCATTCCTCATGCCCCAGCGTAAGCCAAAAGTTATTCCTCAACAGCTGTGAAGAGTATACCAACATAACTCAAGAGCAATGGAGAACAAAATAAAGTTCAGCACATGCAAAACAAACTCAGTTGTGAGAGAAGACCAGGAAAATCCACTATGGCACAACAGGATCCTTCACTAAGCTGCAGAAGGAGCTGAACCGGAGATGATTTATTTCTGAACTCTATAGCCCGCGTGCTTTAAGAGGTGCTTTGTGTCTCGGCAGCAGCTTGGGTACCGTGAGATGCTGCAGTTGCTGCGGGGGACATTTTTCTTCTTGTGCAGGAAAGTAAATAAAAGTATCAGATACATGAGCCGTCAGCTGTCTGCTCCACAGGAGACCACCACTTTTATTCTCCCTACACCCCATATACATTTTTCAAATTGTCATGAATACACGCGTTTCACACATCCAGGCAAACCCAGAGGACTGCACAGCCCCTTCCAGTATCAACTGGGAGGCATTTATGGATAGGGCAGAAGGGGACAAAGGGAGCAGAGACCCTACATGAATCCTGAGAAATTGTAACTTGTGCAGAAAAATCACAACTCTCTTGAAAGACTGTACAGGCGATAAAAAACCTATTAAGGAATATATCCTATTAAATCATGGTAGCTAAGGTAAGTAAGCCAACAGTACCTATAACCAGACAGCACGTTACAAACGGCTACACATCTCTTTGTCAAGAATCTGGACGGCAACCACATTTGTTACGCTACGTGATAGCTCTTCAGGACAGAAGAAGAAAGAAATCACATCCATCTGAAAGCAATGGTCATCAGGTTTCCAAAGCTCGAAATGCTTGTTTTTCGGAAATGTAAAACGCAATCCTAAACGAAGTCAATGGAAACCACGCAGACGCACAGCAGGGCTGAGAGCCAAAGGCTGCCTAATTTCAGCTTTCCCTGGCATCCAAAATTAGCAAAGAATGTTTTTTTGCCTGTAGTCCCAAGTGTCAGCATCCACATTTCTAACACGGAGCTGACTCTTTGGATGTAAGCATCTTAACAAAACATCTGAATAAAGACGACTTGAGAAGGAGCGTCAATATCCATGAACTCTACTGAAACCTACTTTCAGTAGAACTTCATTTATAACAAAAATATGCACAACAGCACATTGCAGTTCTGTCTTTAGCACTATCATGTGAATCTTCAGGGCCTGCTTATCATGATGCACGACTAAAAAGCTGGAATTATTACAAAGTTTCTGTATTTGCCTTTGTTACATGTGACAGTAACTCCTACTGGGCAAATAAGGCAATCCTTACAACACCAATTTGCAGACTTGAGGCAACATCAAGCCACCAAATTTCAAGGTTTTTTAATGTTCATCATATAAGCTTTAAATCCATTTTTTGTTTGATTATAAACATCATGTAACCACAGTTTTGCTTCAGAAATCACAAACTGACAGCCTATGTCTCACCGACCAACTGACCTGGGTAGGTCGCGCTTTTGAAAAACTGCTAGAAAAAATTAAGTTTCAATGTAGGAGATGAGAAGGCAAACCCGCCCTGATCTGAAGTGTGCTATCAGCAAAGAGACAACCAATAAAGAAAGGGAAAAGTTAATCTGGAAGACACTTTTTATAACACATGCTTTACAGAAGAACTACAACAGAAATGGATTAGGATCATGTATTATGACAAAATAGTGGCAAGTATTTCCCCCCAAAACAACTGCCCTGGTCAAGTTTCTACTGCTTCTATTTTAGAAAATATTCATTTCACTCTTCCTAAAACAAAACCCCAACAGTTTATGCAGAATCAAGGAGGCCGCCCATGTAATAAAAAAGACAAAATATTAGTACAAGCCTTGGACATGTCAAAGAAAACTCCACTGAGATGTTGCCCTACTCCACCTGTTCCTCTACTTGTACTAGAAAGACCTCAGACCTATGAGCCCGGAGCTCATTTAAGGTCCTAATACATAAAATAACATTCTAAGAATGAACAAAAAGAATACCCAATAGCACTTTCCCAACCTCTAGCCGTGTCCACAGGAATGATGCCATCATACCACAGAAGGATCACACCAGCAGCTGCCTAATGCCCCATTTTTTACTACGGTGGAGGACTGACTCTGGATCGGATTATTACATCCAGACCTAAGAGTCCCCTAAAAACAGCCCAACACCTACAAATCTTTCGAGTGTCACCGATCACCTCCCTCCCACCCAAAAAATCCCACAACAAACAAAACAAAACACCACACTTGCCCTAAATTCTACTGCTACACTAAAGTTTAGACTCAGTATCTGAAAAGTTTATCTTAAATTTCTTGGGTTTTCATTATTTTGCAGCATGACCTGTCAGCACCAGCAACTTAAAGCTCCGTCTTGAAGCTAAACAGCCTCACACTTGTACTTGGGACGTGTTCCTCGAGAAGTGCAAAACCAACAGAATAGCTTTAAGAGGGGAAAGATGAGGAGAGCCACGCCGTGGTTTTGTCAGGAAAACGAAGGCAAAGCCAGGGGCAGACATGTCCCTCTCAGCAGTTAGCCATTAACCAGGCTTATCTGTACTAAGCAACCAGGCTAAACCCTGGCTCGCTAACCAGCTTTGGCAGAGGCAGGTCAGGGCACGATCCGGCAAGGAGCTAGCATCGAAACTGAAACGATGAGCAGTCGAAGGTGGTAACCTCTTTAGCAAGAGGAGGCTGCATCTCGGGGATAACATGAATCACAGCCTCAGTTACAACGAGTTTCGCCATTTCAGGTAGGAGAGATGTAACACCAGAACACAAACACAACCACGCTCCCTCCTACGGCGCTAGTGCTGCCGCGGCCGCAGTGCTGGGTGATAAATGAGGCTCTCGCCCTCATTCAGAAGTTTTGTCCTTTTTCCAGAAAGGCGCTACAGAAGAGAAAAGAAGGGAAAAAAGAATCAAGTCCAAAAAACCAACAAAAAGAAGTAACTTGGCAAAACCTACTGAAAATGTTATTTCGCCGTCTCAGGTGCTGCAGAGACTAATTTTGACAGGCCGAAGGGGAGAACTCAAGCCATGGTACCCCAGCAGGCGCTTCCTGTCTTCAGCCTGCTTCAGCAGATCCCTTCGAGTTATTCTGACAATTATTTCAATCTCTATTTCCACCTTAGGTAAAAGCAGGGAATTTCTCTAAGCTAACACAAACACTTTAAAGTCTTTAAAAATACTCATACATATACCAACTAGTAAGGATGCTAAAAGCCATAAAAACCTCAAAATCGGCATCAAACAAGAATTAACTCAGGAGAGGAAAGCACCTCTGCTGGACATAGTGAAAACTCATAGTACCGCATCTCCTCTCTGCATAAAGCAGGAGATTTAAACCACTGTTTAAAGCTATCAGCAGTGGAGATTTCAGAAACCTGAACTAGGCAATACAGTGCACTTTAACTTTTTTATTAGACTCCTGCACAAGAATTCCAGTTCCTGATGGAAAGTTCGTGCTGCTGTTTTTCTTAAGGATTCTTTACCACTGACCAAAGTCAAACTTCCCCAGGCTTCGAGACAAGCAAAAATACTTCATATCTTGAATGGTAACTTACTAATTCTCTCACATTTTAAAAAAAGAAAATCTTACTTATCTTTAGGAAGTGGCTCCAGTCACAGCTTTCGTAAGTGGTATCACACAAAAGAGAATTCGATAAAATGCCCATTTTCTGTGTGCTGGAGAGCAGACAGCTTCCTCTCATTTTCAAATACTGCCTCTACCATAAAGCAGCCTGATCCTTGTCGGATCTGTCCTAAATATCTTTCTTAGCAACGGCCAAAGCAGGATTCTGGCTAGAAAGAACAGCTGACTAGAGACGATGGAAATGGAGGAGGGGGACAGTAATTCCTGCATGAGAAGAAAAAAGCTGCAACAACAAAGGGGTTCCACAAAACTGGAACACAGACTTCCTGCAGAGGGTACAGGCAAAAATGATAAATTAGCCCAAGATACAGGCATAGAATGAAAGCTAGTGACCCACAATACCTGTTGGGCATTGAAAAGGACAACCATGCCAGTCTCTCAGGACAGAGACATTTAGCTGCAACAGTGTTGGGGTTTTTTGACAACCCCTTCCTTTCCTCACTGCATCTCCCCAGCCAAGAGGGATGCATGTTTTATGCAAAGAAACATGCTTTGCTACCCAGCTCTGCTGTGCTGGCACGTCTCCTAAAGCTCACCCGAGACGCCGGTGCTGTGCCTTCTGCCTTGCACTGCAGCCTCAGCCATTGGCACCTGGACCTGCCCCGAACTGGGGCACGTGCACCTTCCCACCACACTTGTGCACGGCATTCGAAAGCATGCCGGTGACCCACAAGACTCCACTTTGTAAAAGGGATCTTAACTGGGAAAACACGAAGCATCTAGAAAAGGAAAATTAGATCTCAGTCAAGCCCAATTGAGATTGGCTGCTTAAAAAATAAAATCTAAGTACTCCCCTGCACTTCATTAATAGCTAACTTCTTTTTGGCTCTCCACCTAACCTCTATCTTTTGTCAAGTTTAGAAAGGGCGGGAGGGAGGAGGGAAGGAGAGGGGGGAGTGTTTGTTGAAGGGAAGAAGATCATGTTTCAACAAGGCACCTTTAAAATCCTATAAAATACTCCCTCAGAGCAAGCTTAACCTGTTTGCTGATAGATAATAGCATGTAATACTGTAGGCTCCATTCAGTCTTTTCCAAGGTCTGGGCCCTCTGCCACAGAGTTATTTAATTATAACACTTACAAAATGATTTAGGCAGAGCCATCTGCATTTGAATAAAGCCCTCCTACCTACTTGTACAAAACCATTAGGTAAAAGGTTTTTATCTTATGTAAAATTCCCCAGGTAGCAACTCTGATCCAGCTTCAGTAGCACTAGGAGAAGATGGAGCTGTTAATATTTTTTAGAAACTGCATTAAATAACCCAAATCATCGCAAATGCAAGTGAGCATGGCACTGGAAAATACGCAGTGTTACCACTGGGACCAGCTGAATGGCGAGGGCCAGTGCTTTAAACTCAGTCCAAGTCACATCTGCATGAACCAGGAGAGTTGCTCTGTGGCAGCAGGGAGAGGAAGAGGAGCTGGAGCAGAGTACGGGCAGAGGGCAGAGGACAAAACAGGGAAACTCAAGGTTAGACCCATCTAAGTCGTACTGCAGTGCCGTGGTCTTGAAGAAGCACATTTGGTGTCGAACTCCCTGCAGGTACACGCTCACACGATGAAAACCAACGTAATTTCCAACCAAATCACACACCTCAGCAGCCAGTCCCAGGGGAGACCAGCAGCTGAATTACATCCCTGGTTCAGACCTACTTTCCCATTTAGCCAGTTTCTTCAGGATGAACATAAAACCACTGAAGAGAGCTTACATTAATACTGTCCTGTATCTTAATTGTATTCGATACGTAATGAAAGCAAAGAAAGCCTTGAGAATCAGAAAGGAAATTCTAATTAAATTCGTTCAATTAAAAAGAAAAAAGTTTGAGGTTATATTTTTTGTTTTATTGTATCTTCCTGATAACAAGAAGAGAACAATTCTCTTCCAGAAGCACCACCTCACAACTACTCCTTTCAACGGCAATTGCCTGCACTGTGAATGCAGGGAGTGCTGCTGAAATTCAAGGAAACACGTTAGTGCAGACATGCCCACCCCAAGAGTCAGAAATCACGAACAGGAGGCAAACAAACATCAGGCAAAGGGAAGACGATGTTTACAGAGGAGCCTACACTTGGAAAGTGTTTGAACTTGCAATGCTGTTCAAGTTATAAAAGAAGTTAAAATTATACACTGAATAATTCATTTCTTACCCTCTCTATACTACCTACCTCTGCGACAGCAAAATTTGGCTACTTCAGCCTATACTATTAGCTAACACTTAGATGGTAACAGCACAGCAATGCCCCAGTACGTTTGACTGGTATTGCACTTAAAATTTACATTCTCCCAGTTCCTGACAAGGATTGCACAACTATCGGTGCCCTTCTCCCAGCGGGAAGGGCCCAGCTCGAGGGCACCTCTGGCGATGGCGAGAGCCAGGACTCTGCCGTATTCACCATCCCATTTCCTCCAGTCCTCACTGCCAAGTCCCAACACATTTTTCTCCTTCTTACCTGTATCTACTGTTCCTTTTAACATGGACAAAGTTGTTAAAGATAAAACAAAATGGAAAATTTTAAATAAACTTTTGCATTACTGTGCACTTTTTTCCTCATGATTCCAGGTCTCCCCAACAGTCTTAAGTATAGTCCTAGTCTCTCTCACATGAGCACACAGACCTCCAACACTTAAACAGAGAAACTTGTTCTGCATTCAGAGCCCACTTTGCACTCACAAAAAGCCTATCAGCCAGGACATTTTTTTTTTCATTTATGAGCATGTTTCCTTTTCCACTTCTTCTAGGAAACATTCTTGTAAGAAAGGAAATATTCAAATACTTAAAGCCTTAGTAAACATCTGCTGTGACTGGCTAAATAAGACACAGGTTGCACTCCCACCCAGCAAATACACTTGCCATTTCCTAAGCACCCCTGCTATCTCTCTACCGAGCACAACGTCTTATCTTCTGTTGTTTGTATTGCAACAAGAAACTAAGGGCCCTAGTTCAACATGTCGCTGTACAAACACACAGTTGGAGACACTCCTCACCCAGGAGAGTTTGCTGCTTAAATGGACAAGACAAACAGCAGCAGAAGGAAAACAGGCACCCAGAGGCGAGGGAACCTGCCCCAACGTCACCTGCTGAGCTGCAGCCCCCTCCAGCTGCCCAGTGCTGCTCATGTGCTGTGCCCAGCTACTGCCCATCATGTCCTTTTCAAAACAAATTCATTACCTCTATTTTTCCTTTTTTTTTTTCTTTTAAGCAGAAAAACAGGGCAGCAGACTGTCCTGACAGTTTCTCATTTGCTAGAGGTGTAGGTTCACTCTATTTGGCAGTGGCAGAAAGAAATTAAGCTCTAACTGCTACGCCAGCAGCTAACAGGCAATGTTTCCATCCATTTTTCTGTGGCTTAAACCACCCAGAACATTTGAGCGATTGCTCACTTGCGGATGAAGCACTTAACCTGCTTTTTCATGGAAGCAATCGAACTTCAGACTACCCAGCAACCCTGGCCACTAGCAGGGATTGAGGTATTCAGAAGTTTTAGGAAATAGGGGCCCTTTCTCAGTACAAATACAAAAAAAAAATAAAAGAGCAGCATATAAATCCTACTGAATCCAGTAAGCTTTAGCCATTTTGCTGAAGCAGGACCTGCAACATTTTCTCTGACAGCTACAGAAAGGCTGAAAAATTTCAGACAGGTCTGTTCCTGCAAGAGAAGAAACATCCCCCTCCTTTCCCCACCATATTTGTAAGTTATTTCTCCTGTCTCCTCCTCCCCATGTCACATCAACCTGTTGGGTTTTTTTTTTTTCCCTCCAACATGATGTCTTAGCTTTCTTTCAGACACAGTAACTAGCTCTAATGTACCCTATTCATGTGCCAATCAAGCCATCATCAAGATCTTAGAGAGAACAATACTTGTATGCAAAGCCCTATTTGGAACTGGTATTTGAGTCACTGCAGGCCAGCCATTAAGCAATCACACGTACGGTTAATGGCCTATGTTGACACATGCTGGGGAATTAACCCAGAAAAAAATTCCACTGCATTATTATGAAAGAGATGGTATCCTAGAATAGGAATATAGCACAAGTTAACACGTTCTCTTCAAGTTAACACGCTCTTTGGTTAATTCTCAGAGGCACACATTTAGTGGTGTGGGTTTGGGGCTGAAGGAAGGTTTATTGAGAGCTGGGCCAGGAAACAAAGTGTCTTTCAGTGCAAGGGTATTTCCCTTACACAGCTAGAGATTAGTGAGAGCAGAGAGTAAAACTGTGCATTATTCATGGGTTTATAATGATTTACTCTTTGCAATACAGTAACACCAGGGAATCGAGTCCAAAAAAATCCAGCCTGAGTGTGACAGGCATGTTAGTCAAGTAGTCTGTGGGCAAGCCTGTGCCCAGATCCTCCTCCTGCACTTACAGACGTCCACCACAAAACGCGAACAATGAACCCCTGCAAGATCATGAAGAAATCCCTGGACAAAACCGAGCGGGAATTCTGACCATCTCCGTGCCTGATCTATAACCAACCTCACACGTCCTGTCACCACTCGATCTCTTGGCAGGGAAGCTCTCGGCACGGTTACGTCACAGCTACCCTCTCGCTTGCAAGTTTTCTAAAATCATTTAGGAGAAGTAACATGGTTATCCAAGCCTCCAAGATTAAAACTTCAGAAAAGTCATTGTAAGTATTTGGTGATAATCCCCTTGGACTCGCAGCCACTTGAGGGAACACAAGGGGACTCAGGAGAGCAGCAGAGCGGGTAAAATCTCTAAGTAAGGACGTTTTTCGACAGACCACTGCAAAGCATCTTTGCCTGTCAAGCTCATCAGGCCCTGCAACTAGCACAGCAGCTGCAGAGGGGCATTAAATCTAAGCAACATAATTCTTTTATGCCCACTGCACATCCTCTGCACTTCACCAGCTCATCTCCTGTCTCCAGACAGCACGAGGGCTCCGGCTACACACCAAGCC